GGCAATATCATACCTGGATTCGGTTGTTACCCGAGTCCGCAACCAAGACATTACCCTGGAAACAAACGAGGTTTAGCTGCGACAGCTACTATATGTAAGATATAAAAAATATTAACAGAAAGAACACAATTGGTCATTGTTTGAATTAATAAAAAAATACGTCTACCAATGGAAGTTGTTATTTTGAATAGTTATTTTCTCGTTTTGAACTTTGAAAAAGCGAATGCAAAAACGTCCTCTCCATTTGAGCAGAACAAACTTGTATTCAAAAAAAGTTGAAATTTCACCAACCTGTGGGTCCACTGCGACACCACGTGGGAATTTGAATTGCCCACCATGGAATCCTTCGCTTCCAAATGAGAACAAGAATGTTCCCTGTACGTCAAAAACAGAGATTCGATGGTTTGCAGAATCCGACACGTAAACCTATGGTGATATGTTTAAGCAGGTCCTTAGCGCTCTAACTGCACTCTATGCTACGTGAATAAGCTAAACTATTAGTTGCCCCCTGATACACCTCACCTGATGATTGAATCTGTTAACAGCAATAAACAAAGGGTTTTGCAGTTGTCCTGGCCCATGCCCACTTGTTCCAAACTTTCCCACAAACAAACCGTTCTTATCGAACATTTGTACCCGATGGTTATCCTTAACGAGTAGCGCGCAGTTATTTGCGTACAATAAGAAACTAACAAGTTACGTAAGCTCGCAAGAGACAGTACCTTATCAGCGACATATATAGTGCCTAGCTCGTCGACAGCCACCCCCCATGGGTTGTTGAACTTCCCATTGGACTGCCCATGACCTCCAAAGGAGCTCAGATAGTTGCCATCCATGTCAAAGATACAAACGCGGTGATTGTATCTATCCGATACGATCAGCTTTTGCTTGAACATTGCAATTCCGGCCGCCGAGTCGAGCTGACCTCGGCCGGTGCCATAGCCGCCAAATTGGCGCAAAAACTTGCCTTCGCGATCAAACACGCACACACGATGGTTACTCGAGTCACACACCGCAACAGCACCACCTCCAATGGCGCATACCCCTCGGGGCCAATTCAGTTCACCCTCCTTAGCCCCCTTGCGGCCGAAGATGGTGCGAGGACAGCCGCGCGCACGCCACTCATTGGCCTCCCGTGACGCGCTGCGACGACGGA